TATCTCTGTGTCTATAAGTGAGTGTACGTCTACGTGGGGGGGTGTCTGGATGAATTAACGGGTGAAAAATAGCGTTAGTAAAAAAGTTGAAAACTTACGGTGGTTTGTCCTTTGCAGAAGCTGCTCCTGGATGCAGTCGTTTGAGGTGCTGGTGCATAGCCGTCGTGCTTTTATGATAGGCCATTTCCACCTCACAAAGCCGGCAAACGACTGAATCACTTCCTTTTCTGTTAAAATATCCCCATACTGTAGAACTGCGTGTTCAGGTGGAGTGATTTAAGTTGACTGCAACTGCCTCACTCATGATTCCGCTACTCGCTGCCGCCATGTCTTTTTTTGAAAGTCACGACGCATCGACGCAGATTTTTTTACGTCGACGTATTTTTTGCGTCGATGTAATCGATTACGTCGACGCGTTGTCCCAGCCCTACATGGAAGCTCCTGTCAGGCATCATATCGGCTAAGATGAACAGGCACATGGGTCAATACATGAGCGGGACACAGAAAGGAATTGGCAAGAATACCAGAGGTGCAAAACACCAACTACTGGTAGACAGAACAGTCAGCCGAGACTGCAAGACCAGACTGACCAACCTGTGCACTGCCTGGATTGATTACAAGAAGGCCTATGACTCAATGCCCCACAGCTGGATACTGGAATGCCTAGAATTGTACAAGATCAATGGGACCCTAAGAGCCTTCATCAGGAACTCAATGGGGATGTGGCGTACAACATTAGAGGCCAACTCCAAGCCCATAGCACAAGTCACCATCAAGTGCGGGATCTACCAAGGAGATGCTCTGTCCCCACTGCTGTTCTGCATAGGCCTGAACCCCCTCAGTGAGATCATTAACAAGACTGGCTACGGATACCGACTACGGAACGGAGCAGTTTTCAGCCACCTCCTGTACATGGATGACATCAAGCTGTATGCCAAGAGTGAACGAGACATCGATTCACTGATCCACACTACCAGGCTATACAGCAATGACATTGGAATGTCGTTCGGACTGGAGAAGTGTAGTCGGATGGTAACAAAGAGAGGGAAGGTAGTCAGAACTGAGGGGATTGAACTACCAGAAGGCAACATTGCAGACATAGAGGACAGTTACAAGTACTTGGGGATCCCGCAGGCGAATGGGAACCATGAAGAGGCTGCTAGAAAAGCTGCAACCACCAAGTACCTGCAGAGGGTCAGGCAAGTCCTGAGGAGTCAGCTGAATGGTAAGAACAAGATCTGGGCCATCAACACGTACGCCCTGCCCGTGATCAGGTACCCTGCTGGGGTAATAGGCTGGCCAAAGGAGGAGATAGAAGCCACTGACATAAAGACAAGAAAGCTCCTTACCATGCATGGAGAGTTTCACCCCAAGTCCAGCACCCTGAGGCTGTATGCTAAGCGGAAGGAAGGGGGCCGGGGACTGGTGAGTGTCAGCATCACAGTCCAGGATGAGACAACGAACATCCAAGAATACATTGGGAAGATGGCCCCAACTGACTGAGTGCTCAGTGAATACCTCAGGCAGCAGAAACCCAAGAAAGAGGAGGGAGACGAGGAACCATCATGGAAGGACAGGCCCCTGCACGGTATGTACCACCGGCAGATAGAGGAGGTGGCTGATATCCAGAAATCCTACCAGTGGCTGGACAAAGCTGGACTGAAAGACAGCACAGAGGCACTAATCATGGCAGCACAAGAACAAGCTCTGAGGACAAGATCCATAGAGGCTGGGGTCTATCACACCAGGCAAGACCCCAGGTGCAGGCTGTGTAAAGATGCCCCAGAGACAATCCAGCACATAACAGCAGGGTGAAAGATGCTAGCAGGCAAGGCATACATGGAACGCCATAACCAAGGGGCCGGCATAGTGTACAGGAACATCTGTGCCAAGTATAACCTGGAAGTCCCGAGGTCAAAATGGGAGATGCCCCCAAGGGTGGTGGAGAATGACCGAGCTAAGATCCTGTGGGACTTCCAGATACAGACGGACAAAATGGTGGTGGCTAACCAACCGGACATAGTGGTGGTAGACAAACAGAAGAAGACGGCCGTAGTGATCGATGTAGCGGTTCCGAATGACAGCAATATCAGGAAGAAGGAACACGAGAAGCTGGAGAAATACCAAGGGCTCAGAGAAGAGCTCGAGAGGATGTGGAGGGTGAAGGTAATGGTGGTGCCCGTGGTAATCGGAGCACTAGGTGCGGTGACTCCCAAGCTAGGCGAGTGGCTCCAGCAGACCCCGGAATAACATCGGAGATCTCTGTCCAGAAGAGCGCAGTCCTGGGAACAGCTAAGATACTGCGCAGGACTCTCAAGCTCCCAGGCCTCTGGTAGAGGACCCGAGCTTGAAGGATAAACTGCCCGCAGGGGCGTGCTGGGTGTTTTTATATATATATATATTAGGGGTACAACGATACACAAAATTCACGGTTCGGTTCGATACTTTGGTGACACGGTTCGATATTTTTTCGATACAAAAAAATGTTCATGCCTTTTTAATTTATCATTTATTACAATTATAAATATATATTTTAACTCAAAAGTACAGTTTTTCAAATTTAATGTTGCCGAAACAACAAAATAAAAAAAATAAATCTATCTGATCGAGGAATCACTCATCTTTGGAAAAAAGAGTTATTACAGAGAAATGGCTCTTTCCAAAATAAAAGCTATACTATACGCTTCTTCTGGGCTATATTCTCAGCAGCATATTAAACATATCAGGTCCCCATAAGGAGAATCATGTGCTAACGGCTGTCTAAATGATAAAGTTTGTAGCATGCGTGCTTGTGTTTTTGTCTGCTTCTACTTGTCTTTGCACTAGGATGATGTCAGCATAAATGTGCAGTCGTTGTGTTCATTGTCCATTCGTTGTGATCCCACTAGTGCTGTCAGTGTTAATCTCGTTAAAATTACATTAACGCCATAACGCGGCAAATCTCTGTTAACGAGTTACCGCGGATCGCCCCGTGCTTGGGGCTGGACGGCGTCAACACGTTAACAAGCTAACTGCGCTAACGCACTAGTTCCCACCAATGTAATTGAGCATTGCGTGGCACATCCAACATACTGTTTTACTTTTGTCCATCAGGGTCATGCTTCACATGAAAACCAAGATAGTTCCAAACGCCAGATCTGAATGAGGGTGGGGGAGGTTCAATTTCAGGTAGCGTTGAGGGAGTTGCCATGTTGCAACGAGCTTTGCTTCTGTCTTGCTAGCTTGCGCTGCGCTCAGTGGATCTGCACTCGACAGTGCAGCCTAGGCGGAGTAGTCGAACGCAGATCCACTGAGCGCTCAACACAGACAGCATCGTCAGAAAAAAAGTTGATAAAATAAATAAAAAATGTTGTATTTTTCGATACATATGCGTACCGAGCACTGTACTGTACTGTAAGCACCGTATCGAACGGTTCAATATCGATACTAGTATTGTTGCACCCTAATACACACACACACACACACACACACACCACACACACACACATATATATATATATATATAAAATAAATATATATATATATATATATATATATATACACACACCCAGCACGCCCCTGCGGGCGGTTTATCCTTCAAGCTCGGGTCCTCTACCAGAGGCCTGGGAGCTTGAGGGTCCTGCGCAGTATCTTAGCTGTTCCCAGGACTGCGCTCTTCTGGACAGAGATCTCCGATGTTATTCCCGGGATCTGCTGGAGCCACTCGCCTAGCTTGGGAGTCACCGCACCTAGTGCTCCGATTACCACGGGGACCACCGTTACCTTCACCCTCCACATCCTCTCGAGCTCTTCTCTGAGCCCTTGGTATTTCTCCAGCTTCTCGTGTTCCTTCTTCCTGATATTGCTGTCATTCGGAACCGCTACATCGATCACTACGGCCGTCTTCTACCACCACTATGTCCGGTTGGTTAGCCACCACCATTTTGTCCGTCTGTATCTGGAAGTCCCACAGGATCTTAGCTCGGTCATTCTCCACCACCCTTGGGGGCATCTCCCATTTTGACCTCGGGACTTCTAGGTTATACTCGGCACAGATGTTCCTGTACACTATGCCGGCCACTTGGTTATGGCGTTCCATGTATGCCTTGCCTGCTAGCATCTTGCACCCTATATATATATATATATATATATATATATATATATATATATATATATATATATATATATTTATATATGTGGTATAAATATTAATTAATGTGCATACATTCTTATATTTATACATATATTTATTCTCATAATTTTCACATTCCTGTTATATTTGGCTTGCATCCTGTCTCTTGTATTTTGCACACTACTGTTGTTTGTTTAAACTTGCACACATGTGTTATAACAATAAAAGTGATTTGATTTTATCTCTTTTAGTGGGTTAGCTGGCATAGTAGCTTTCTATTAATACCAAATTATCAACCCTTGTCCATGTATGCGTTGTTCCATTGGCCACCTCAAAACCTAATGTGTAGATAACTTAGATTTGTATAGCACCTTTCAAGAAAGGAATCAACAATTTTTTAATTTTTCTTTTCTTTTTTTTTTTACACACAGGTCTTTTATCTATAATGAAAAGGACCAAGAGTGTTGGACAGCAGCGGTAAACTCCAAAACAGACAGTGTCTTTCGCAGAAGCACCATAGCTTTATATGAAAGAAATGGTAACGATCCTCATTTTTCTCTATGAATAATACAAACACTAAAGCCTATGTTTTCATGCTGTCCTTTCTGTCGGCTACAGTGGCCAGTCTTTTCTAGTTTACATGTTTTTTGTTTCCAATGTTTTTTGTTGACATTGTAGTTAATGTTTAGCATATGTGTCATGATGAGTGAGGTACTGTGTCTATAAACAGCTTAATTTAGTTTTGTAAAACATCACAGAACTCGGATCAGATAAATTATTTACTATAGGAAATGTGTGATAAACATCAATAAATCTATTTCTAGTCTTTTCTTTCCTTTTCTTTTAGCATATCTTCTGGAGTGTTTAAATGGAATAGGAAGAGATTACAGGGGAACAAAGTCCAGAACAAACTCAGGAAAGATCTGTCAAAGATGGGACTCAAGCTACCCACACAGGCCAAAGTATGTGTTTGCATTTGATTTTGCATCATCATTTCATATCCTTTTATGTCTTAGTGAAAGTTTTTCGAAATGTTTCTGCTGCAGTTTCAAGCCGCAGAGCCACCCACAAGCAGAGCTTTACTCCAACTTCTGCAGAAACCCTGATGGGGACAGCAATGGACCGTGGTGTTACACTACTGATCCTAACACCCGCTGGGAGTACTGCAACGTACCCAGCTGCTTTGGTAAGTTATAATGCATGGCCATGATATTTGAGATAAATCAGTGTTTTCCTTCACAGAGGAATGGCTGGTCTGAAATAATGAGAATTACAGAGGAAAAATCTCCACCACTGAAAACAGCTTCACCTGAAAGTTAAACACTGCTGTAATTTAATTTAGTTTCATAAAACATCACAGAACTCGCACCGGATAAATAATTTATATTATGAAATTTGTGATAAACATCAATAAATCTATTTCTAGTGATTTTCTTTTCTTTTCTTTTCTAGCATATCTTCTGGAGTGTGTAAATGGAATAGGAAGAGATTACAGAGGAACAAAGTCCAGAACAAACTCAGGAAAGATCTGTCAAAGATGGGACTCAAGCTACCCACACAGGCCAAAGTATGTGTTTGCATTTGATTTTACATCATCACTTCATATCCTTTTATGCCTTTGTTAAAACGTTTCATAATGTTTCTGCTGCAGTTTCATGCCGCAGAGCCACCCACAAGCAGATCTAGAGTCCAACTTCTGCAGAAACCCTGATGGGGACAGAAATGGACCGTGGTGTTACACTACTGATGCTAACACCCGCTGGGAGCACTGCAACGTACCCAGCTGCTTTGGTAAGATTCATACATGTTATTGTGTTTGTTTTGTTTTGTTCAGCTGACATACATGTCTAATTGTCCTCTAGCAGCCATTTCTCTTTCAACAATTGCCATTTGGTTTGGTATTTAATGTAGCTAATATGTGAAATATAGGCACTACACAATGTTCTGAAAAACTGAACTTAAAAGGCTGCAAGGCCAGATACCACTGGGCGTTGGCATCCTTCATGCAGTGGAGCCACTGCAGCAGGGCATGGTCTGAGCAGAGGGTGAATGGGCATCCCGGGAGCTGGTAATGAAGGGAGTCAACCGCCCACCCGATCGCTAGGCACTCCCTTCCCACAGTGCTGTACCAGGTTTCTCGGTCCATTAGCTTCCAGCTGATGTACCAACCGGTCGGTCGACTCCCCCGACCTGCTGGGACAAAACGGCCCCCAGCCCTCTGTTTGAGGCATCTGTCTGCAGGAGAAAAGGGAGAGAGAAATTAAGTGTGTATAGCAGCAGCTCCCCACAGAGAGCCTGTTTCACCCACACAAACGCTGCCTGGCACTGCCCTGTCCACTGGACCAGATCTGAGGCACTCTTTCGATCAAGGGGCTGGTCAGGTCCGCAAACCCTGGCACAAATTGGCCATAATAGCCGGCCAGCCCCAGGAACCGTCTCACCTCCATTTTGGTCTAGGGGCGCAGGCAGGATGCAATCGCTGCTGTCTTCTCCACCTGAGGACGAACCTGCCCGCCCCCCAAGTGGTACCCCACATACTTTTACCTCCTTCTGTCCAACCGCACTCTTCTTCGGGTTGGCTGTGAGCCCCGCATGTCTCAGGAACTCCAGGACCGCGGCCACCCGCTGCACATGCTTCGTCCAGGTGTCCCTGAAGATGATAACATCATCCAAGTGGGCGGCAGCATTTGCAGTGTGTGGTCTCAGCACCCAGTCCATGAGGAGCTGGAAGGTACTGGTACAACCCGTATGGAGTAGAGAAAGCCGTCTTTTCCCTGGACTCTCCAGAAAAGGGAATTTGCCAGTAGCCCTCAGTCAAATCCAGCGTCGTGAAACAGGCATTGCCTAACCGGTCCAGGAGCTCGTCGACCCGGGGCATGGGGTAAGCATCAAACTGTGACACCTCATTCACCTTGCGATAGTCAACACAGAACCATATAGACCCATCTTTTGTCACCACAAGAACGATGGGGCTATATCATAATTCTTCTATTACTCCCAGCTTTAGCATCTAAGCCAATTACCTCTGAACAATTTTTATGTTCGGGTAGCCTGTAGGGCCATGAACACACCATATGCCAGGCTGCACCAGGCTGTTGCAATGCAGCATCAACTGCTCTCTGGGCCTGTGTGAGATAGTTATCACAATGAAGGGAGGCAGGAGTAGTGGAATTTGGTACCTCCGGCCTCAACTCATCTCTTTCCTTAACCAGGCTCACCGGAGAAGCGGTTTTAGCAGTCCAGCACGTACTGAATTTCATTTTTTGCGGGGCTCGGACTTTTCTCCTGCCTGCGGCTTCCTGCCGTACAGTAATTCAAAGGTAAAAAATCCCGTGGAGGCCTGGGGAACTCCCCGCACTGCAAACAACAGAGGGTCTAACTAGCGATCCCAATTGTGTTCAACCTCATGAATGAACTTACGAATCATGGACTTCAAAGTCTTATTCAGCCGCTCCACGTCAGTCTGAGGGTGGTAGATGCTGGTCCAAACGGATTTAATGCCCTGTAATTCATACAGCTCTTTGAGTATGCGAGACAAGAACGACGTGCCCTGGTCAGTCAGTATTTCTTTCGGAATACCAACTCGGGAGATGACCTGAAACAGTGCCTGAGCCAGGCTCTTTACAGAAATGGTGCGCAGCGGCACTGCTTCCGGGTATCACGTTTCATAGTCCACCAGAGATAATACAAAGTGATAGCCGCGTGCACTCTGGTGGAATGGCCCAATGAGGTCCACACCAATGCGTTCGAATGGGACCTCCATTAAGGGTAATGGATGCAAAAACGCTTTTGGAACGGCTGGCTGGCTCACCATCTGGCAATCCGGGCATGACACGCACCATCGGCGCACGTCTGCCCAGCCAATAAAATCGGGCCATTACTTGTTCCTGAGTTTTCTTGCATCCCATGTGCCCTGCCATGGGGTTGCAATAAGCCGCCCGGGAAATCATTTTCAGCCGGCTCCGTGGCACCAACAACTGGGTGTGTATTTCGTTAGTGTGAGTGTCGCAACTCACTCAATACAGCCTACTGTTCTGCAATTGGAAGTGCGGGTAAGTCTGCATAGCTTCAGGGCACACCAGGTGACCATCAATATCTATCACTTGGTCATAGGCTGAGTGTAGGGTGTCATCACAAGACTGCTCCAGTGGAAAATCTTCCATAGGGCGTGACACAGAAGACAGAAGGACCTCCGTAGAAGGACCCACTTCTTCTTCCCCACAAAAGTCAGCATCGGACGACCCCGCGTCACCACTGAGCACCATGCAGACATTACACGCATCTACCAGTCATAATCGCATCCCCATGTACTGCTCCAACAAGCTATGAAACCCCAGCCAATTTGTACCCAAAATCAGGGGACGCGACAGGCGCGGGCTAACCGCAGCCTTTCCCCTATGCATTTTGCCCCGGAATTTTAGCAGCAGCGGTACTATGGAATACCTGTGAACATCCCCATGCACACATTTTACCTCCACCCACTCCGCCTCCAACAATGAGCCGGGGCAAACCAAGCTTCAGTGGACGAGGGTCTGGGTGCAGCCCCCAAGGCCGGAGCCCCAGCGAAGCGGAACACCTGGCCCACCTCCATCAACGGACACTCCCGCCGTAGGTGCCCCAGCCAACCGCACTTTCAGCACTCTGGCCCCAGGGTCTGTTCAGCCGCCCATGGCTCAGAGGCGGCGACGAACATTTCTGGGTCTCTGGCAGGAAGCAGGGGTGCAAACAGGTTCTTGGGGCTCCACACCGGTGCTCACTCCGTCCTGTCCATGCTGAGGTCCCTTCTTCAATGTCGCCGGCATCCTGTAGGCTGGCTGCTCAGATGCGTGTACTCCTGGCCAGTGGCCAGATGGTCCTCCACCAGTTTGACTGCCACGTTCTGATCGATGGGGCTGTGGTAGCGATCCCAATGTGTGGTGGCGTCGGGCAACCCCTTCACAAATTGCTCCATGACCACCAAGTCCAGCATACGGGCGTCTTCCTACATGCGCCCTGGACACAGCCACCTCGCCTCGTCTTCGAGCTGCCTTGCCCATGCTATCAGCCGCTCCCCTCCCGGCATCTGACCAGCGTGGAACTGCTGCCGGTAATCCTCCGGGGAAAGACCAAGGTGATCCAATTCCGCCTGACAGACATCTTAATACACTCCATGGGACGCCGGAGGCAGGCTCAGGGCAGCTGTCTGGGCTTCACCCGACAACAGAGGCAACAGCCGTGGTGCCCACTCTTCCTCCGGACAGCAGCACCCCAGCATTGTGGCGTGAAAAGTCTCTATAAATACCAACGGTAGAATTGAGATCACGATTCTCTCACGATTTTCTTTTCCAGTATAAATATTTATTGCACTTATTAACTGCACATCAACTTCGTAACAGTTGAGACTGAACATAAAAACAATAAATAAACATAAAAACAACAAATGTCTCACGTTTTGTTGTTGCTGCAAAATGTTGTACTGCTTGAAATTCCGTCTCCACCGTTGCTCGACACTGCGTGTATAGAGCAGGTAGTGCAACAATAGAAAAAATAGTTGCGGGACGGCACTGTGTAGCATTTGTCTAGGGTGTTGATCATTTTCCTAAATCCCTCGTTTTGCACAGTGTTGATGGGAGCCATATCTTTAGTCAGGTTATAAGTGATAGCCTCCGTAATTTCTTTGTGCCTGCGGGAGTTCGACGTGTATAGGGAAGCGCTGTATAAGGTTCCCGTTATTGATGTTTGGGTGGTTGACCGGGACGGATTTTCTACTGTCACTTTCTCATCATCCCTGACGTGCTCTCCGTTGTTTTTTTCCCTGCTAATTTTAGCATCACATGGCACAGCTTCTGTATCACGTGGTATAAGGCTCCGCCCTTGTCATTTGTTGAGCAGGAAGAGAGAGCGCTTGTTTTCATGCAGATTACGTCCTGGACCAAAATGCGGTACAATCGTCGTCGTCGTCTTTTTAAAAAAATCTTTTAAATCGTTGTCATTTGGAAATGAGATCGCACATAAGTATGAATCGAGAACGCGATTTTCTAATGATTAATCGTGCAGCCCTAACCAACGGTACCATCCGGTGAAGTGCCACTGACAGCGTGGGGGCGGGGGGGGATGACACGCTGGCACAGCTGCAGCCCCCATCAGCCGCTCCAGTACAGCGGTGTCCCACTCCAAGTGGTCCCGCAATACCCCCAGCTGCTCCTCCTGCGCAGCCGCCTGCTGTGCAGACATCACCTGGCCCACAATCTGGAGCGGGCAGAGTGACTGGGGGTCCGACATAGCACCAAGATTTCAGCACCACTGTGGTAAGGACCCCACGCACACACACAGTTGGCAGTTTACTCTGTTATCTTTTATTATCTGTGGGCAGCAGATGCTGTTGTTTCGGTGCTCTGCACGCTGGAACAGTCTCTCCAAGGCTGCTGCCACACACACGTCCTTCTGCTCCACTGTCACTGGAAAACCCCCAAAAGATAGCAGTGTCATTTAACCTGACCCAGCATACCTGTTTCAAACACACCCCCGTGCCGCTCCTGCGAGCTCACTGTGCTACCCCTCCTCTACAGCAGGCCAGAGACCACTGTATGGTCTGCAGTGGTGAGAATAACAGAGGAAGAATCTCCACCACTGAAAACAGCTTCACCTGAAAGTTAAACACTGCTGTAATTTAATTTAGTTTCATAAAACATCACAGAACTCAGATCAGATAAGAAATTTGTGATAAACATCAGTCAATCTATTTCTTTTCTTTTCTTTTCTTTTCTTTTCTAGACTATCTTCTTGAGTGTGTAAATGGAATAGGAAGAGATTATAGAGGAACAAAGTCCAGAACAAACTCAGGAAAGATCTGTCAAAGATGGGACTCAAGCTACCCACACAGGCCAAAGTATGTGTTTGCATTTGATTTTACATCATCATTTCATATCCTTTTATGCCTTTGTGAGATTCGTTCTTAATGTTTCTGCTGCAGTTTCACGCCGCAGAGCCACCCACAAGCAGAGCTTTACTCCAACTTCTGCAGAAACCCTGATGGGGACAGCAATGGACCGTGGTGTTACACTACGGATCCTAATGCCCGCTGGGAGCACTGCAACGTACCTAGTTGCCCTGGTAGGATTCATAATTCATTTAATTATGGCCGTTGTCAACAACCCATATACATACATTTCTTTTCTCTTTACTACTCTTGTGTTTTTCTGAACCAATGGCCAAACAATCCCTCTCTTTCTTCTCCAAAGTTTAACCGTTTCTATCCTTGTAAATAATCTCAAAAGAAATATAGCTCGCATCGTTCACGTCAAAGAACCGGCTCTAAGAGCCATTTCGTTCGCGACCGACCCACCACTATTCCTCATTATGATGATTGTAATTTCATGTCTTTAGTGTGGGAGTCTGTCATGTCCCCTGTGTTTAAGTCCCCGTCGCCCTTTGTGCGTCTCTGTGATGCCTTTGTCTCCCTTTGCGTTGCTCTCGTTCCCTCTCTTTCCCGTGTGCCCAGTCTTGTCTCCTCCTCGTTTACGTTTCCCCTTGTATCTCATTCCTTGTCTCCCCCTCGCTGTCATGTTCTGTATTTGTTTCTTATACCCGTGTCCCATCTCCTGTTCCCTGATGTCATGTCAAGGTCGTGTGTCTTAAGTCTGCACCTCTGTATTTTCTATTTTGACAGTCTAATTTGTTTAATTTTTCTTCCCCTGTGGCGTCATGTTCATCTGTTTCAGCTGTGTTCCCCGTGTGTTTCCATTTGCCTTGTCACCCTTGTGTGTATTTATTAGGGGTACAACGATATTCGTATCGATATTGAACCGTTCGATACAGCGCTTTTGGTTCGGTACGCATATGTATCGAACAATACAACATTTGTAATTTAGAAAGAGCCATTTTGGAAAAGAGCCATTTCTCTGTAATAAACTCTCTTTTCCAAAGATGAGTGATTTCTCAATCAGATACAGGGCTCGCAAAATCGCTAGCCCGACGTCCCGGGGCTAGCGATTTTTCCAGTCGGGCTACCAAAATCTATCTCTGCCCTGCCCGTCCGGCTATTATAGGAAGGAAAAATATATGTCAATGCTTTTGCATTCTTTCGGAAATGTAGCTGGGTAATTATGTCATTGGCATCGGTGAGCCACTGTCAATATGTGACATATTGAAATCGCGTTTGAATTTGCGCTTGTTTTTTTGCTTTCACTTTGCAATCGCGCGAACTGTGTATAGAGAGCGACAGCACTGATTGGTGAGTGATGATAATTTGTGCACCAATTCCTCTGACATAGTCTTATCAATAGTTAGCTTACTATGCAAACATGACAAGTGATATCTCCCGCAGCAAGCTTAAACATGTGAGAGGTTGATCGCGCACAGAATCGCTGAGCTTATGTGAGTGCGTCTGTAAAAGCAGCAGGATATATATTTCAGTTCTGCTGAGCCAAATAAGACAGGTCAGGGTGAAGAAGTGACAGCCAAAGAAAAGCTTACCGCAAAACGGAAAAGTTATGACAAATCAGACTATAAGGCAAAAAGAAAGTGCAGCTTTATGGTTTCATGGACAAAAGAATTTCTGTGGCTGCAATATGACGAGCTAAATAACCAGGGCTGCACATAAGTGGTCCGCAGGTGCGCATTCGCTGTCAAAATAAAAAACACGCACAAGGGTTAGGGTTAAATTTAAAAACTGTACTTTGAGTTAAAATATATATATTTATAATTTTAATAAATGACAAATTAAAAGGCATGAACATTTTATTTTGTATTGAAAAATATCGAACCGTGACACCAAAGTATCGAACCGAACCGGGAATTTTGTGTATCGTTGCACCCCTAGTATTTATGTGATCTGTTGTCATGCATCCATTGTTAGGTTGTCTGTTGTGTTCACGCCCTGTTTCCAGGTATCCACCCTTCCACACCAGGTTTTCATGTTTATGTTTAGTTTTTCCACTTTAGATTTGTTTTGCACCTTTCTAACAGCCACAATGAACAGCTCCCTTTTCGTTAAAATCTAGTTATGTTCCACGCTTCATTTTGTCTGCATTTGGGTCCGCTCTCCTCTCTCCACACGCAGACTCTGACACTTTCTTAGCTTGCTTTTAGCATCAGTCAAAAACAGCTGTGTGAGTAAAATAGTAAAGTATCTAGAGCAGGGCGATATGGCCAAAAATATTTATCACGATATATATTTGAAAATTTGCGATAACGATATAACTGATGATATAATTGATGCGAGACAAAATACAACTCCACAACATTACTAGTGCAAAAAGACAACCTTCCATTTATTTTCACTTAAACAAGAAGCTGGTTTTTATGTACATTAAAGCTTTATAAAAATGTAACAGTGCAAATGCAAATTCCTTGCTGAAAGTTTAACCAAAAGGCATTTCCAGTAGAAATGGGCTGACATATCCTGAGCATAACCATGTATAATGTCCACTGAAGTTAAAAAGAGGTGCTTTGCAACATTAAACTGCAGTGTGCAGTACACATTTTTCGGACCATAAGGTGCACAGGATTATAAGACACATTAAGCGAAACAAAGCAGTCAGATAAATCAAACTTTATTAAACTCATTCTTCTTGCTTCCTCCACTTCTGTAACATTGATTCATTAATGTTGAATTCTCTGCAGCTGCTCTATTCCCATGTTGTTGCAGTATATTAATAACTAACCTCGTATTGTGGATGGATTATCTCAGTTGTTCTCCTGACTGAAGTTTGGTCCATTTACAGCATCCTGCCATGCGATTGCATTTGTCTCTAACCATGAAGAACCTTCACATTAACTTTTATAAGTGGAAAAGTGTTAGTGTTCGTCCTCCAGCTTCACTGTTTATGTTATGCTAACATAGCTGTGTCACTAGTGATCACGTAGCACATCATTATATACCAGCTAGCCCAACTTCAGTAACCCTACAAACGTCACTGCTGTTTAGTTTCCTGTCTTCATTTATGTTGGAAGTGATAGCAGAGACAGTTTTTAACTCTAAGTGATGCTGCAGTGTTGTTTGACCTGAAGCATACGGAGCTTAGGACCCAGATTACTCCCAGATTTAAGAGCATCTTAGTCCGACAAATACGACAATAACGATGGCCGCTTGCATGTTCTGCAAAAACATGTGCTTTGTTGTGTATCTGACGGACAAACACCAAACCAGTTCCACATCACTGAAGTTGCACCATTTTTACAAACCAATTCTGGTTCATCTGTTTCACTCAACGACCGGCCATGTGCGTATGAAAACAAAGGCACTGCGCATGCGCGTTTTACTCCCATTCTATCGCGATATTTCATTTTCCTATCGTTGCCTAACATTATACCGGTATTATCGTGAACGGTATAATATGGCCCAGCCCTAAAAGTATCCACTATCTAATATCTAGTTTTTGTTTCCTACCTGTAGGGTGACAGAGGTGGTCCTCCGGTTTGTTATGAGCAGAACAGATTTGTCCTTCAGGGTGTCGCAACATGGACTGAGTGATGTACGTTGGGCAGGACGGCCAGTGTTTACACTCAAGTTTCTAAGTTTGTGGACTGGATCAATGCAACCATCAAAGCCAACTAAAAGCTATCATCCGTAATGCGGTTGTTGAGGATGTCTTAACATGTATACGTTGTTCTGCTCTGACATGAACGTTTTTATAAAGTATTTTTTATTAAGTATGGATACACATTAAGTAGTGCATGAAAATCACAAATTCTGCCAGAGAAGAAAAATACAAGTTAAACAAAATCAGAAAATCACACTTTATACAAGATGTTCTGATTTAAAAAATATTCTATTTATTATGTTATATTATAATATTTGGTGATTGACAAAAACTGAGTTTTGAAGAGAAATGTAGGAAAAGTGTTCCTAAGAAAATGAATAAGAACGAGCACGTTGAAATGGATGTTCATGTGGGATTGAACTAATGACCAAATGTATGTGAACTAAAATAGCAAAAACTTAATGTTAACTTAAAGTGTATTCATATGTGGCTGAATGTTTATCTGTGTTGGAATTAGTGACAAATTAAGTACAAGATAGAAGAGAAGAAAATGTAATGTAAGTCAATTTAAAGTGTAAACTTTGTTTTACATTATGAAAAAGCCAGAGAAAGGAATGATGATATGATGTTACTGGACATCAGGTGATGGTATGTCAACAATGGAGACTGCTTTCTTTGCAAAAGAAAACAGCATGTGCATCAAAATAAACTATTTAAAGCAGTGAATTTTGAGTTCTAAGCATCCCAGCAACTATTCAGAAGAGCATTTCTATTTTCAATAAAATTGAAATGGTTACAGATTTTTCTTCTTTTCTTGGTGTCACTCATTTTCTTTAACATAACTTTCTAATGTAATGATGTTGTCTCTTGTTGTTTCTGTCATTCTCTCTCTCTCCCTCCTGGTCTTTTCGTGTGCTACTGCTGTTGCGATGTAACTACCGCCCCTGTCCCCTCGGGCACAAACACAAGGCTCTGTTTGTGTCTCCCGTCTCTGCTCAGCCCAAACACAAGGCTAACGTGCAGCATGAAGCAAAAAAAAAAAGTGAGAGAGCGAGAGAGCAAGAGAAAGAGGAAAAAACCCATGGCTCCTAATAAGGACCCGGCTCTAAGAGCCATTTCATTCACGACCGACCCATCACTAACCTGTACACTCAGATTTACATATGAGACAACATTACGACAACAGTCGTAACAAAGTCCTCCGTCTCCCTTTGTTCATTGTTGCATCGTCTGTGTTACCTACCCCACATCCAGTTTAATTTTGTCAAGTCATAGTGAAAGTCTTATTTATAGTTTCCTAGTTTAAGTTTAGATTTTCCCTCACACCCCCAGATGGAGAAACCTTTTAAACTTAAACGCGCTCACGCATACAGGTGTACACACAGGCGCTCACATACACAAACCTATCTTCCTTGGCTGCTAACTTAAAGCATATTGTGCACTGTCGGTCCTCCGTGCCACTTAGTAACATTCAATATTTAGTATTTACTGTTACTTACATGTATCTAGGTTGTTGTCTCTATCATGTTGTGCTGTTTGTTTTCTCTTTTCTTCTTTTGACGGGTGATCAAACGGATTTTCGCAGTGTCTTCTTTTACCGTCTCCCCTACCCCTTTGCTTCCTTTCTCCCTTTCCATATGTCTGTCCAATTTGTAATAACTTAAAAAAATAACATAAATAAAGAATGATAATACAGACTAATCAAGTGGAACAACATGGCATTGGCATATTTTCTCCACTTGAAAAAATAAATTCGTTGGGCTCTTTCCTGTCCTTCAGACAACAAGCGTGATTGCTAAAGTACCGAAAGGGACAGGCAAAGACAAAATAAAGAAAGAAAGATGTTCCCTCATTTTGCCTTGCTTCTTGTCTGTGAGTGTTAGCCCCAAAATAAAGGCTTGTTTTTCATTAACCTCTTAGGACCTGGCGTCCACATACGTGGACATCACATTTTGGGTTATTTAGACCAAAATACTGAATTTTGCTCTACAAGGGCCTGATATCCACTTACAAGGACATTATACTGCTACTGTTTTATGGAAAATGTAAACAGATATCCTCATATGTGGCTCTCATTTTTCTTAGAAACAAAAATTAGGTAAAAAAAAAAAATCTGGTAATTCTTTATTTTTACATTCATCGGGTCCCAATGAGCCCAAATATCAAAGAGAAATTTAAAATGCATGCCGTGGATAAGTTCGGGTCTTAGGAGGTTAAGGTCAGTATGCACCTGGGTCCACCTCACTCACTCCACTCGGTCTGCTCCGCAGGACGTGACAAAGAGTGAATCTGTCTTCAACCATCTCGATGAAAATACTTTGTGTGAACAGGTATCATTAGTCTGTTAATTCTTTTCAGTGATAATTATTCATGTTTGGGGGTTTTTTTTGTTGTGAATCTGGCTGTTTAAGCCACGCTTGCTAGCTTGTTAGTGCAACAATATAGCACAATGCTAACACAAGCTGTGTTAGTTAGCACATGCTAGCTAACACAAGCATGATAGCCTAAAATGAAAGACATAGCTAATTCAAATATATATAGTGTTCATAATTTAACCTCTGCACATAAGCTAGTTGGGATCTATCACAGAAACAGCATGTCGTGATAAATATGCATTTTATGTATGGTTTGAAATTTGTAAGTTAAGGAATTGCTGTAACTGTATATTTGCATTCTTCTCTACTTTGTAGTTCAACTGTTGCACAGTAGTTTACCTAAGCATTTGATGTATGTTTTTGGTACACATGGACAGATTTTCTATTTGTCATTATTTTTTTAAGTACATATTTATCGACTTAAAACACTTGGAGACTGGGGCTACGTGCACACGTACACAGGTATTTTTGAAAACTGAGATTTTCCGTTTTCGTTTTAAAAAATAATCCCGTCCACATGTAAACGCAAAATTGAAGGAAAACACTGCTAGGAACATGCCAAAGCAACAAATGGCGATATATTCCTAACCGTGTAGAAATGTTGGCCAATCAGAAGTCTAGAAGTCTGGGTGGGAAAGCGTACACAAAGATGGCACATAGTGTCATGGTCCTGGGTCGTTGACCCACCGTTTTGTGTTTATTCTGGTTTGTATTAGTTTAGGGTTGAACCTGTAGTTTGGTGTATTGTCAGCCCTACCTGTGTCTGTCCTTGGTGCTCTGTTCATATCCCCATGTTGTGTTGTAAATCAGTCTGTCAAAGGAGCTTGCAAAGAAAAGCGTCTGGACTTCTTTAAGTTGCTTGAAGACGTTTCACCTCTCATCCGAGAAGCTTCTTCAGTTCTAAGGTCAAATGGTGGAGAGTCCCAGATATAAACCTAGTGGGAGTGCCCCCCCACAGAGGGACAAAAGGACCCCCTGATGATCCTCTAATCGCCTGAGCCAAGGTGGGAAACTGGGCGTGGGTCCCAATCAGCCAGAGTTTCGGGTGTGTTCATTGTGAAACCTGGCCCCACCTTATCATGCGAAATGATATTCGCATGATAAGGTGGGGCCAGGTTCAGTGTTGCTGGATCTGCCGAAGGAAGATCAGACATGGATGGGGTGCTGCGACTGTGACCCGCCCATATGGAAAAGAAATAGTAAAAACTTATATGTGATTACACTTTCATGAGTAAATCATATAAGGCTTACGTGATTTACTCATGAAAGTGGCCACTTTCTCATTACTTTCATATATTGTTTAGTAAGTATCCAAAACATACAAGTTTCATTATATAATTTTTCAAGGGATCTTATATCTGTTTCACTCTTATATGCTTTTCATACAAGTTTCACACAGGCAGATACAAACTTTATAATATATATATATATATATATATATATATAGAGAGAGAGAGAGAGAGAAGAGAGAGAGAGGGAGACAATCCAGCACATAACAGCAGGGTGCAAGATGCTAGCAGGCAAGGCATACATGGAACGCCATAACCAAGTGGCCGGCATAGTGTACAGGAACATCTGTGCCGAGTATAACCTGGAAGTCCCGAGGTCAAAATGGGAGATGCCCCCAAGGGTGGTGGAGAATGACCGAGCTAAGATCCTGCGGGACTTCCAGATACAGACGGACAAAATGGTGGTGGCTAACCAACCGGACATAGTGGTGGTAGACAAACAGAAGAAGACGGCCGTAGTGATCGATGTAGCGGTTCCGAATGACAGCAATATCAGGAAGAAGGAACACGAGAAGCTGGAGAAATACCAAGGGCTCAGAGAAGAGCTCGAGAGGATGTGGAGGGTGAAGGTAACGGTGGTCCCCGTGGTAATCGGAGCACTAGGTGCGGTGACTCCCAAGCTAGGCGAGTGGCTCCAGCAGATCCCGGGAACAACATCGGAGATCTCTGTCCAGAAGAGCGCAGTCCTGGGAACAGCTAAGATACTGCGCAGGACCCTCAAGCTCCCAGGCCTCTGGTAGAGGACCCGAGCTTGAAGGATAAACCGCCCGCAGGGGCGAGCTGGTGTTTTTTTTTATATATATATATATATATATATATATATCTTTTCCATATGGGCGTGGTTTGTCTTTTGTGGTCGGAGAGTGGAGAATCACACAAGGTGGTCTGCAAAGAGAGTTTTAGGATGCTTCCTCCCTCTGTCCGCTGCATAGTCCATCCACGGGTTTGCAAGGCTGGCTCAATTGACGGCTGCCACACCACAAAGAGGTTTTTCAGAAATATGCAAACCGTAGAAAGTGGATTCTATGTTACTACTAGTATAATACTTGTGACTCTGTAGCAGACAACAGTTTGAAAAAGTGCTATTAAAAAGATCCCTAGCCCTCATGTCATACTGGGACCTTTTTGTGCCACTTTTTTGTTTTAAATGCATGCCATTTCCACTGTGTTCAGTGGAATATAACCAAACTTGCCAAAGGATTATTTTTTTAAAAGATTTTTAAAATTTCAGTGTGAATTTCTTAAAACAGCCTGGCTGAGCAGCAAAAATCCCCACACCCATTACCTTAGGGACCGTTTTGTGCCCCATTGACTTCCATTATAAACGCTATTGTTGTAACTTTATTGCAGTTTTGTTTGATAACAGCATTTTGATTATTTTGTAAGTGATTTAAGTGTTAGTCACATGTTTAGTGAGGGCTGTTAATTATAGATTTAATTTTATGCTAAAAGGGAGCATTTAACAGGTATTTTCATTAGAAAACTGGGTTTCCCAGAATCCTTTGTAGTAGACGAAAGTTACTCTGGGGTTTTTTAGCTAGAAAAGAAAGTTTGGGAAGCCATTGTATGTTGCTCTGATGTCGAGCAGTTTATTTGTTGTACATTCTCCTTTTGAAGCCTTATATAAAACTATCGTTTCTACAATTGATGTCCGATCCATTTTTTGGCTAGTGGATTCGCCACAACAGCTATTTTTCATCCCAAAATTATTATTATATGATTTTATTTATTTATTTTGCTTTGGATGTCAATGAGG